AACTGAAGAAATGCGCCGCGAATGCGAAATATTTTAGTAACCTACAAATAGTTCATACATTAGGGCGCCCAGAGAACTAGCACAACCAGAAAATACCATACCTTGTATTTGTATTTTTTCTTGCTCTCGTTGAAGATGAGGCGCCAATGCCCTGTTCTCTCTGACTATCATAACTACTGGGAGAGTTCTCAGTGATCGGTGAAAGAGGTATCTGAAGCGAACTGTCATCTTCATTCTCACGACGCGTCTCACATTCACTTACTGCATTACGCTGCCGTGATGACCTCTGCAACCTGATCCTTTCAGACGCACTCCCTGCAAACACCACTGGCAATTTATAATTTAATCAAATTCCCTTTCATATTTCCTAAACAAACATTTAAAAAAAGAGAAAAGCGAAAAAAAGCGGTAATGCTTTGTAGAGGTAGACCAATTTCCTATCTCCTGCGGACTTTTCTGCTCTTCTACTTCTCCCCTTTCTCCCCAATCCTCCTCTGCCCAAATCCTTGCTTGGAAGTGGGACACCCGAAAAACACTTTTATCGAAGCAGCTGGGATAAACTCTCTGTGTCAATTATCCGCTGACGTTCAAGAAAGCATAAAAAAGTCGATTTCCTGTAGCTCCAAATCATGTGTCAGGCACGACCGTCTTTCAAATAAACTATATCATCACATAGAAACAAACTTACCATCTTTCTTGAGTTCTTCAGCCACATCCACATCTTTCCTTATCACTACCGGTGGTTTTAGGGGCTGAAAAACATTGGACAGCACGGACTGCTTTCAAACTGTTTCATATTCCTCAATTTTGATATTGACATTCGAAGAGGAAAAGCATGCTTACCATTTCTTCATCTGTCTTCGCTACTCGCTTTTCATTTTCCATTGCAGCGGTTGTTAATGGTCTATAGAGTAGACCGTAAATAACGCTAGATAATCCCAAGACAGCAAGCGCACAAACCGCTATCCTCCAGTTGTATTCTGGAATAGATTACTTCTTTATTGTCTGTAATTCTACTCTTGTTCTGGCAAAATGTGTCGCGATATATTTCTCACTGATTACTCTGTAAGCGGATTTCTCGATTTGTCCAACCATCACATACTGCACCGACCTATTAAAACCCAAAATTCATTGAATTTTGGTCCAATATTTTCCTTATTCTCAGCTTGCTTGTAAGCAATCCTCAAATGAGGGAGCCATCGACAACCTTTTCATCAGGCATTTGCCCTCGGAATGTATTCAGATGAATTTACCTTTCACAGAAAGCGAATA